CCGCGAGGTTGTCCCAAAGGCATGGCCCGCGGGATTGCCCCAAACAAAGTCAAAGGCTTCGCGATCTAGCCGTCGGCGAACGCGCGCGTGCTGGCCGAGGCGGCGACGGCATCGAGGAAAATCGCCTTGCTTGCCCCGACCAGGGGGAAGGGGAGGTGCACATGGAAAAAAGGCAAGAAGAGGATGATGAGGGCGGGAGGGGGGGGAGAGCGATGATGATGAGGAGGTGGAAAAGGAGGAAGAGGAAAAAGAAGAGGAGGAAGAGAAGGAGGAGGATGAATCCGTCCCGTCGACCCTGTCGGCGTGCGTGAAGGGCTTGTCCGTTAGAGTCGGATTTTACCGTCGAGCGCCGTCCCAAGCGGAAGTCGAAGGGAAGCCCCTTCCCTGTGATCCCTGAACCCCCGCGCGGGGGGGGGGGGGGGGCCTGGGGGGGTCAGGGATTCCCGGGGGGGATCTTGGGGCGGGGGGGGGCGCCGCCCAAATACGTTTCCCCCCCGCGCCCCAGCCCCCCGCTCCCGCCCCGGCCCGGACCCCGCTGCGGCCCCAGCCCCGGGCCCACACGCGGCCCAGCCCAGGGAGCCGCAGCCCGGGCCCCGGCCCCGGCGCCTCGGCCCCGCAGCCCGGGCCCGCGACCCCCGGCCCCGGCCCCGGCCGTGGCCCCGGCCTCGGCCTCGGCCCCAGCCCTGGCCCCAGCCGCGGCCCCAGCCCGAGCCCCAACAGAGCCCAGAGAGCTCCCAAGAGAGCCCCAAGAAAGGCTCCAGCGCGACAGCGTCGTCGTCGCCGCCGCTGCCACCGCCACCGCCGCCGCCGTCGTCGTTGCCGTCCCCCTTCATGGTCGGCGGCACCGGCCGCTAGGCCTTCCCAGTAGAGAGACGAAGAGGAGGAGAGGGCAGAGCAGAGGGCAAGAGGAGGGTGTCCGCCAGGGCGAGGAGGAAATGGCGAAGGGCAATCTTAAAGGATTCTCACGCTGGGTCCTGCCGTCGGAGTAACTCGGAACAACAGGGTGGGTCGCGGGTTGGGTCGCGGGGGGGTGGCGGAGAGGGTCGCGGGCTGGTCGCGGGCGAGGACGACGACAACAACGCAACAACAAGAGCAACAGCAACAACAATACCCATTGTTTTTTTTTTTAATACGGTTCGCTCTTATATGCTCGCGTGGCCTTCAACACGCGTACCCCAGACCCTTGATACCCGCCCCCTTCGTTTTCGCTCGTGCCCCCTTGGGGGTATATATGCCTTACCTGCAACGTGTATTTCGTGCAGCCCCTAAGTCAAGGGGAGAGAGGACGGATGAAGGAAGGGACAAGGGGGAGGGAGGAGGATGGAGCACGAGAGAGGAGTAGCAGGAGGGGGGCTCGGAGCCGAAAACACGTGGCAGAACCAGACGGGCAGATCGGGCGGGTAGAACCTAATGGGCGGGTCGGGAAGGCGGGCCCAGGAGGCCAGGTCGAGCAGGCGGGTTGCTTAAGCGTGCGTCCTGCATGAATCGCAAGGAAGTCTCGAGCAATAGCTCGATTCCCAAATAGATCGTCAGGAAGTCCCAAGCGAGCGCGTGATTCCTGAGTGTCGAGGGCGCGGCGTCTGAGTAAATTGCGAGGACGTCCCACGCGGGAGCGCGATTCTTGCTTACAGTGTGAGGAAGTCCCGCGCGAGAGCGCGATTTGGATATACATTTTGAGGGAGTATCAAGCGGAAACCGCTGTTGTTGCAAACCAGGGGCCAGGGGCTTAGTTTGGTGACGCTTCAACTTCTCTTGTAAAAAACAGGGTGCGAGCCCCAGGAGAAGCACTTCAATTGAACACATACAAGGGTTACCGGGGGGGATCAGGAAAAATATTCTTTAGAGATGTGAATTCAGAAATAACAACGAGCATTTGAAGACTGTTCGCTCTTATCTGCTCGCGTGCCATTCAACACGATATCCTATTTCCTCGATGCCCGCCCTCGTCGTCTTCGATCGTACCCCCTTGGGGGAGGAGAGGACGGACGGAAGGAAACGACAAGAGGCAGGCGGGATGCTGAAGCGTGAGCCCTGCATAAATCGCGAGGAGGTATCCAGCAATAGCGCGATTCCCAAATAAATCGCGAGCAAATCCCTACCGAGAGTATGGTTCCTGAGTGTCGAGGGCGCGGCGTCTGAATAAATTGTGGACATGTCCCACGCGAGAGCGCGATTCCTGCATAACCTGTGCGGGAATCCCGCGCGAGATCGCGATCAGGGTATAAACTCGGAGGGGATATCAGGCGGGAGTCGTTGTCATTGTCAAGCGAAGGCCAGAGGGCTTAGTGTGGTGACACCTCACTTTCCTTCGTAAACGAAAACAGCGTGCGAATCCCGGAAGAAGCACTACTACTACTACTACTACTACTACTACTACTACTACTACTACTACTACTACTACTACTACTACTACTACTACTACTACTACTACTACTACTACTACTACTACTACTACTACTACTACTACTACTACTACTACTACTACTACTACTACTACTACTACTACTACTACTACTACTACTACTACTACTACTACTACTACTACTACTACGACTACTACTACTACTACTACTACTACTACTACTACTACTACTACTACTACTACTACTACTACTACTACTACTACTACTACTACTACTACTACTACTACTACTACTACTACTACTACTACTATTACTACTACTGCTGCTACTACGGCTACTACTACTACTACGACGACTACTACTACTACTACTACTACTACTACTACTACTACTGCTACGACTTCTACAACTACTACTACTGATACTACTACGGTTCCCTCTGCTACTACTACTACTACTACTACTACGACTACTACGACGACGACGACGACGACTACTACTACTACGACTAAAGCTACTACTACTACTACTACTACTACTACTACTACTACTACGACTAAAGCTACTACTACTACTACTACTACTACTACTACTACTACTACTACTACGCCTACTACTACGACTACTACTGCTACTACTACTACTACTACTACTACTACTACTACTACTACTACTACTACTACTACTGTTACTACACGGGCAACAACAGCAAGCCAACCAGCAACAATAACCACAACAAAAACAAATAACAATAACAGCAGCCACACAACGACACCAGCAGCAGCAACAACAACGAAACAACAATAATCCACACCGCGGAACCTCACTTCAGCCACGCGCACAGGGACAATGAATGACCGTTCGGCCCCTTCACTCTGACAATCAGTTACCCAAGACGGACCGCACCCATTCTGAATTGCAGGCGAGGCGACAACATGAGCACTCCATACGCAAGAACGCATTGCGAACGATGAAACAACCTGAAACGCTCCGCCAAAAAATATCGAGCTGGGCGCGTTGCAGAAACCGTAACCAGCGCTGCTCAGAACGCAAAGGGGCGTCGACGAGAAGGACAACAAGGAACATAGAACGGGGGGACAGAAATAGAAGGGAGGAGGAAGAGGAAAAGGAGGGGGAGGAGGAGGAGGAGAGGAAGGAAGGAGGAGGAAGAGAAGAAGGAGGAGGAAAAGGGGGGAGGAAGACAAGAAGGATGGATAAGGACAGGGAGGACATCCTGGTGTGGGTAGCAGCGCAGTGCGCTGCATTTGCCCGGTTCACCCCTGCTGCAGCGGGCGGCAAGCAGCTGGGGGGGGGACGGAAGCCGGGCGCCCAGGACGGCGTGACGCGCCGCGTGGCGCTCCAGCGCTCTGCGCCCTGCAGTGCAGCAGCGCCGCGCGCTGGCACGACAGCCCCCCCCCCCCTCCACTAGCAAGCAGTGGCGTCTACGTAGCAGACATCTGCGTGACGACCCACTCCGCGGGACCTCCAATGTGAACCCACGGAAGTGGCAACCGAGGCGCAGCCTGCGGCCTGCCCACGGAGCCGCGAGGTCCTGCATGGGGTCCGCGTGACTGCCCACCTCGCTGGGCACTCCCGGCGCCAGCGACAGTGGCGACAGCTGCGCCGTGCGCCGACCCCGCAGGAGGCCGCGAGGTCTTGCAGGGATCTGCAGGACTACCCACTCCGCAGGACCCCCGGGAGCCCACGCAAGTGGCGACAGCTGCGCAGCTCGCAGTGCAGTTCCCCCAGGGAGCCGCGAGGTCCGGCGGGGGCCCGCGTGACTGCCCACTCCGCTGCGCCTCCCAGGGGCCAATGGCATTGGCGGCATTTGCGCAACTCGCAGCTCCCCATGGAGCTGCGAGGTCCCGCAAGGATCTGCGTAACTACACACTTGCTGGACGTCCAGGGAAAGAACAAAACTTGACAACAGTGGCACAGTTCACAGACCCCCAGGAAGCCGAAAGGTGTCGCAGTCATCTGCGTGACTGCCCACTCCGTGGCACCTCGCAGGAACCCACGGAAGTGGCGACAGTTGCCAGCTCGCAACCCTCCCAAGGAGTCGCGAGGCTCGCAGGGGGTCCGCGTGACTGCCCACTCCCCTGGACCTCTCAAGAGCCCAAAGAAGTATTCTCCAATTGTCCTTCTCTCCTTCGAACCCTCGCCCTCTCACGAAGCGCCTCTCCGTCGCCCGTCCCGGACCGAAATCCGGTCAAAACCAGTCCCCAAACACCTACCAATCTCCACCCTGGCCAATTCTGCGTGCAGCCGAAGCGACGAAAATCTCCCGGAACGCCCGAACGACTCCTAAACGAAGACGCCGTCGTGGCAGCCGCCGTCGCCGGTCGCCGCCGCCGCCGCTGCCACCGCCGCCACCGCCGCCGTCGTCGCCGTTGTCGTTGTCATTGTCGTCGCCGTCGTCGTCGTCGTCGTCGTCGTCGGTCGTCGTCGTCCGTCGTCCGTCGTCCGTCGTCCGTCGTTGTCGTCGTCATCGTCGTCGTCGGTCGCCGTCGTCGTCGATGTCATCGTGGTCGTCGTCGTCGTCGGTCGCCGTCGGTCGTCGTCGTCCGTTGTCCGTCGTCGTCCGTCGTCGTCCGTGGTGGTCGTCGTCGTCGTCGTTGTCGTCGTTTCCATCCCGTCCTCGGAGTCGTCGTCCACCAGCTTTCGGAACTCGCCCAGGTCGACCACTGAGGCAGGCGGCGTTCTCCCTCTCTGTTCTCTCTCTCTCTCTCTTTCTCATTGCCCCCTTATTATTCTCTCTCTCTCTCTCTTTACCTTCCTCTGTATAGAGATGTGTATATATGTGTGTATATCTATATATAGTTGCTTGCGTGTCACTCTCTCTCTCTCTCCATATTTCCTTTCTCTCTCTCTCTTTCTCTTTCCCTCTCTCTCTCTCTCTGTCTCTCTCTCTCTCTCTCTCTCTGTCTCTCTCTCTCTCTGTCTGTCTGTCTGTCTCTCTCTCTCTCTCTCTGTTCTCACCGCGGGCGGGTTGTCCCGGATGCTCTGGCGGGAACAGCGCCCGCTGCGCAGAGAGCACGCGAAGCCAACCCTGGGAGAAGGAAGAAGTTGCCGGACGAGGGAGGGACGGAGGAGGTGAAGACGAGGAGGAGTCGGCGGCGGAGGTGGAGGAGGCGGGGGGAGGGAGGCGGACGGATGATGATGGGGAGGAGGAGGAGGAGGAGGCGGAGGAGGAGGAAAAGGAGAGGGAGAAGGAGAAGGAGGAGGAGGAGGAGGAGACAGGTAGCCATTTTGCCATTTTGGGTCCAGGAACCTTCTTTTGAACTGCCCACCTTTTGGGCGTGGCTTAATGGGGGGGTCACAAATGGGGGGGTCAGAAACGGTCCCCCTTCGTGCCCCTTTCGGGCCCCTCTGGAGCCCCAGGGAGCTCGTTTAGGTACCGTTTGGGTACCTTTTCGGGCCACCCTCGCCACCCCCCTATTTATGACCCCTCCATTACGCGACGCCCAAACCTTCGGCTCCAGAGCGAAAAGGTCCGGCCGCCCTCGGCCGTTCCTCCCCGGTGGCCAACAGGGCACCCCACGCAGCCTTCCGCCATGGGCTGCCGCCCTCGGGACCGAGGTCTGCACATGGGAAAAGAGGAGGAGGAGGGGGAGGAGGAGGAGGAGGAGGAGGAGGAGGAGGAGGAGGAGGAGGAGGAGGAGGAGGAGGAGGAGGAGGAGCAGGAGAAGCAGGAGAAGGTCTGTAGATGGGAAAAGGGAGCGGCCGTGGCACCCCGTGGGGCCATACAGTTTTCGACGGTGCGTGCGGCCGCCGCGGCTGCAGAAAGAGACCCGGAGCACGACAAGTGTTGCTTGCCTTGCGGTTCTCGGCTTGACCGTGTGCCACCAACCCCATCACGCCGAGATGGAGGAGCGGCGACCCTGGTGGACCACCAAGCCACCAACAGGCCGGGGAAAGCGGCGTCAGGGGGACTCCAACACGTGGAGTACACACGACGAGCGCGACAATCGCAAATACAAAGAGAAGGGAATGGGAGGAGCTCACCGACCCAGCCTCTCCCAACACGACCTCCTTCGCTGCCTGCTCCAGCCGGCAGGCAACGGAGGGAACCACTTCGCCGAAGCAGCCAGTGACCGCGAGATCCTCGCCTAGTCATGGTAAAACAGGGCTAGGATCTGGATAAATCGCTCCAGAGCGTTCCCGAGCGCTCTCAGAGCGTTCCGGAACGCTCTGGAGCGGTCGCGGCTCCCAATACATCCTCCAAACCCGCCTGTTCTCAGAGATTTCGAGTTATCCCGATCCGATTTTGTCCCGATCTTCGCGTCGTTTTGCATGGTCTCCCCACCAGGCCCACAGGAGTCCCAAGCGCCGGCCCCTGCCATATTCCACAGGAGCTCGCCGACCGACTCGGAAAGCCCTGGGGCCGGCGATGCGGACGCCTCACTCCAACTTCCGCCAGGAACGCTGCCGCCACTGTTGGCGGCGCGCACAAGGGGGTGGAGGGAGGGGGGGAGGGCTTCTTAGAAGGAGGCTGCTTCTTAGAAGGCGCCGGGCTTACATCTGTAGATGAGGCCCGCGCCTTCTAAGAAGCAGGGGTGCTTCTAAGAAGCCCTCCCCCCTCCCCTCACCCCCCTCTGCACGTGGCCGATACTGATGCCGGCGCACTGCTTGCCAGCAAGTGGGAGCCGGTGGGCTCGCTCCCCGCCCGTGCGCCGCAGGGCCGCGACCTTTCCCGACCTCCCGCCGATCTCTCCGCTGGCGGAGCCGCCGCCGGCCGTCACTCCCGCCGGCCCTCTCAATGCTGAGGGCGAGGGGATGCCCAGCCTTCGATCTCTGACACGCGCGGCGTGAGTGTTGAGAACGGCGTAACTGAAGGGGCCCTGGGACACACAAATAAATGCGCACACATAAAAAAAAACTATATGTTTTTCCCATATCTTCTGGGTTTTTGTCTTCCCGCCCACTTCCCATATTTTCGCATATTTTCTGGGGAATCGACGATGAATTGTGTCTGTGTGTTTATTCCCCTCCTGAGTTCCAGCGGCGTTTCTCCCGCCCCTCCTGCGCAGCGGCCGCGCCGTCTCTGTTGGCGGCCGTGCGCGCCCGCGCTGGGTCTCAAGGGGCGCCCGCAACGGCAAGGTCCAGCGCCACGCGCCTGCCGTCGTGGCCGGGAGCAGCGTCGAGACTGACCCTGGGGAGGTCGTCGTCGGGGGCGTCTTCCAAGCTCCCCGCGTGAAGGCTCTCCAGGCGCTGCTCCTTTATCGCTCTCGGGTCAACGAGCGTGGTGGCGAAATTCAGCAAGTTACCGCGGACCTCGAAGTGGGGGGTGGAGCTCCGGGTCACACTGCCCAGAGGCCGCCTCCCTGCGGGGAGGTGGAGCTTCGGGCAGAGCACCCAGAGGCCGGCGCCCTTCGGGGGGGGGGGAGCTTCGGGTGCTGGCCCAGGGGCCGCCTCCCTTCGGGGGGGTGGAGCTCCAGGTCACACTGCCCACCTCCCTGCACCCCTCCGCGTGCATGAGAGCAACCAGTCCCCCAGCGGCGACCCGCACGCACCCTGGCTCCCACTGCGCTGACGATGCGCCCCCGCTGGCGCTGACGAGATGGCTCGGTCCACAGTGCACAATTCAAGGGGCCCAAGGACACACAAGTAAATAGACACATAACCCAGCTGTTCCTATATTGTCGTACCACTCCCCATCTTCTCCCACGTTTTCCTGCGAGTCGACGAGGAATCGTGGCCGCGTGATCGCTTCCCTCCTGAACAGCAGGCGCCGGCGCAGGGCCATGCGCCGCGCTCCGCCGCCGCCGCCGCCGCCGCCGCCGCCGCCCCCGCCGCATCGCACGCACCCCCTTCTGGCGCTGCCTGCGCCTGGGCCGGCCCCCCGAGCGCATTCGGGGGCCCTGTGCCTCTCGTCCGCGGGCCAGCCCGGGAGGCGCGAGCGCGCCACGCGCGCGACGGCGACCGCCAAGTCCCTTTGCAGGTGCGTCGAGGTCCCTCCTCCTCCTCCTCCTCCTCCACCTCCTCCTCCTCCTCCTCCTCCTCCTCCTCCTCCTCCTCCTCCTCCTCCTCCTCCTCCCCCTCCTCCACCTCCTCCTCCTCCTCCTGGTCCTCCTCTTATAAAGTCCAACGCCGGGCTGATCTGCAAGAGGGGTGCCGCTACGCCACGAGCTCTGCTGGCGCCCTCCTAGGCCTCCGCTGCTGGCGCCGGCAAGGCGGCCTCGAGCCCCGCGTCCGTGCAGGCACGGGCGCCCCCGCAGTGGCGCCAGGGCCGGCGTCAGCGCCCCGCAAAGGAGGCAGCCGCGGCTCGCGGAGAGGCCAGGACAAAGAGCGCCCCGCCCTCCTCCCCTCCTCCCCCCCTCCTCCTCCCTCCCTCCTCCTCTCCTCCTCCCCCCTCCCTCCCCTCCTCCTCCCCTCCCCTCTCCCCCTCCCCTCCTCCCCTCCTCCCTCCTCCCCTCCTCCTCCTCCTCCTCTCCCCCTCCCCCCCCTCCTCCTCCTCTCCTCCCTCCTCCTTCCTCCTCCTCCTCCTCCTCCCTCTTCCTCCCCTCCTCCTCCTCCTCCTCCTCCTCCTCGCTCCTCCTCCTCTCCTCCTCCTCCTCCTCCTCCTCCTCCTCCTGGTTCATGGTTCATCCCTGGGCGGCCGCCTGCAGCTGCAGGCGAACGCCGCTAGGTCTCAGACCGACGCGGCACCTCAGTACACCGCGAAGAAGATGACCAAACTCTCGTCGACGTGCCCGCTCCCTGTATAGGGCCACGCGGGCAATTCACAAAGTCCAGTACAGATACCTGATAGAGCTCAACGCCCCCAGTACCGCAAAAAGAAACCCTTGTCGATGTGCCCGCTCCCTGTATAGGGCCACGCGGGCAATTCACAAGGTCCAGTACTGATACCTGGAAGAACACAACGCCTCCAGTACCAAGAAAGTAGACGTGATCATACACCACATCCACGAACTGAACTCCCAAGCCAACCACATGATCAGCACAGGAATCCAGCAAAACAGGCAATGAGCCGCTGCCGCACGCTGTTGCCAACCCGCGACCGGGTCTAACGTGCTGGTGCCCAGGGCAGCAGAGCCGCTGCCACACGCTGTTGTCAACACGCGACCAGGTCCAACGTGCTGGTGCCCAGGGCAGCGGACTCACCACCATGGCGACACGAACCTGGCGCACCAGGATTTCGGGATTCGAGCTCAGCACGAACATCCACTGGTCGAAGCAGACGAGATCATCGGCTTCGCCCACAACAAGAAACAGTCACAGCCTCATCTGGGCCAGTACAGACGCGTGGAACTCGATGGAGCGCGCTTTGGCAAATCGACAAATCCACTTGAGCTGGTTCTTCCTGACAGCAGGATCCTTAGACGCCCCAGGGCGAACTTCTTTGAGCTTGAGCACCTTCTTCGTGACGTCCGTTGAAGAGCCAGCACAACGAACACAAACGCACGCCATACCATCCCATTGCAACGCGTGGCCTTGGCCTGCAAAAAAGGTGTGCGCCGCCATCTGAGGAGCTTCTGACGAATCCACCACAACCTGCTCTGAGATGGCCTCACCAAGTAGGGCATCAGCAAGTTGTACGGCTTCATGCACTGCCTCACTGCGCACAGGCTGGTATGTAAGGCCCTTGGGAGTGCCGAAAAAGATGTCACACTGCAGTCTTTGATGCTCAGACGCACTACAGTGCTTACGAATACCCCAGCCCAAGTTGTCCAGGTGAGTCGTA